AGGACTGTAGATGAATTTAGTCCATGAATCTTTTTTCCTTCCAAGAATATTATTACTGGCAGAGATGTTGTGTTCATTAAAATGTAAGACGCTGCTCGGAAGCGCAAAGGGCCAAGCAGTTAAATCAGCTTCTGAAGAAGAGATATTTTGATTGTTCCCAGTAGATTCCATACAGTATGCATGCAGGTCATTTAATAAGTATCTCTGTTTTGTTGTGAAAAAAAGTTGTCAGGTTTTTTTTTTTTGGCATACTTATTATGGATGCTTTTTCTTATACTCTTTCATACTGTACACATTAACAAATAAATGTGATTTATTTAGGGTGACTGACAGCCAGTCAAGTATAAATCAGTTATTTTTTCAGCATGTCATATTGAAGGGGAGCAACACTGCTTGGAACCAGGTGTGAATTTTTTAAAAATTACTCTAAAAGTAAGTATAATTTTGTGTCAAAGACAGATGTGGAGGTGTGAAGTTCTTTCAAATTATACAACAGACTGGATGCATTTGTCTGGCCATTGTGTGTTCATCATGCTTGTTCCCTGTAGTTGCTTGAGTGGTTCATGTGCAAGCCTGCCTGGCTGCACAGATGATTGATAGCTGGTAATGAATTGTGGAGAAATGTGAGAGACCAGCACAGCAAGAGGAAGTGCAATGAGCCTAGATAGGCGAATGAGACTGCAGTAAATTAAAGCAGAACCTGGGAGGGGGGATAAGTAGACTATCCCCAAGACTACTTTATTTCATGGTGTAAAAATGACTACTTCTCACCACAAACTATTGCTTCGTGTGACAGGTAATTATTTTGGCAGCCAGAAAACATCCCCAAAGAGTCCCTGCCAACCTCGATATCTGCACTTCTCTCAGAGGAGCATGTGTGCTTAGCTATCTTCGATAAGAGAGACGTTGTGGGCCAGCCATGCTGCAAAGCCTGGAAGCTGGGGCTCCAGGCGGACTTTGCACATAATGGCAGAATGGAGGGAGAAAGGTTCAGGAGGACGGCAGACAGCAGGCAGTTAGTGCAGAGGCTGGACGCAGGTGGTCGGAGAGTGTGTTGATTCAGTGCTGTTGCACAAAAAGTCTGAAATAAGCACCAGCATCAAGATGCAGATTTCATAAGGATTATGTTAGTCCACCCCAAAGCATTACCTGACAGTAACATAAAGTGGAAATACCATTGTTACATAAAAGTATCTGTTGAATTTTAGATTTCACATCTATAACAATATCATTTTCCTGTCTGCTGGTGATTCTGGCAGTTGGCCCTCTTAAGGCATGGTACTGCAACATGTATGAAATATGTTATGCAAATGTAATGAAGTTGCCAGGTATACACAAGTTTAGTGCATTAATGCACTAAACATCATGAGATGTTTGGTTGTACATAATGTGTAAACTAATCATAACAGATAATTTTGATGCTGCAAATTTGAGGCAAAAACAAAAAAAAAACCTTTACAAGCTACATTAACTACACTAGTTTGGTAAAAATGGTAGGAAATGGTTCTAATGCAGAAATCTCTATTTATTTGATGATCTAGAAACAGAATGTCTCAGCAGAGAGAAAAGATTTTAACCACAGCAGTTTTTCAATGTTGATGTTTGTTGGATGCGGTTTCTTTTTTTGTGCACATTTGGGATTGCTAGCTTGGCAGTGTAGACTTAGATGAAGACAAGCTTCATCACTTGCGGTTAGTCTCAGTGTTTTTTAATGTCCTAGTACTGACTGCTCATCACAGCTATAGGAGCAGGTCGACAAGCAACGATCAGAACTTATGCTAGTTATTACAGTTTGCCTTTTCTTGAGCTGCATCTTGTAGATTTGGTCTGAATTTTATTGGTACAGGAAATGGGGTCTGAGAGATGCATACATTACTTTCCACTTCAATGTCTATACAACTAAAATTAATGAAATATAATTTGTAACATACTGAAAATGGCAAATTTATTGACAAGTGAGAGAAAATCAAATTTAAACTACATTTTCGGTTTGTGAGGAAGAAGCATGTCGCCCAGTGCAGAGGTATGGCTCACTGCTGGGTTTTTATTTTGGACGCAGTAGAGCTCTAATAAGCTAAACTGGGTTCTGGATCACAGGCATTACTTGAAGTACATGAAATTAATTGTAGGTTTTAGTGTCTGTGTGAGATTTGTGATGAAAAAACAAAAAACAGAAAATCACCAGTGTTATCCTTTAATCATGGCTGCTGTCAGGAGATAAAGGTTATGTGTTTGTGCTGGAAAGCATATGCATACTGTATTTACCAATGATAGTTTTACTTTTTTTCTTTTTTAGTTACAGACTTCAGACTATTGCCTTTGTGAAAAACTGTTTGATAAACAGTATTTTAAAGTTTTAATGACTTAGTAAGGAAGAATCTACTGGATTGTTTACAAGGTGACTGCTATATTAAAAGTGAAGCTTTAGAAAATAAGATGATTGCTTGTTTATTTTTATAAGAAGTAATCAGTCATGATTAATACTGTGTGCTGGGTCTTAAATAAAAAAACAAGTTCAATCCAAGATTTCCACATTCCTGATACTAATAAATTTAGGAATGTTGGCCTGTTTGTTTTATAGTTCATTGATCATTGTTATGGAAGGCGTCTGTGGGAGGGTGTTGCTGAGCGAGAGGCTGCTGAGCTGAACGCACTGAGGAGGTCACTTCAGTCTGTCACTGAGAATTGCCAAATCCATGGACAATAGTTACTTACACATACAGTAGGTGCACACAAAAAACTAATAAAACCATTTGCCTTGATAAAAAATGCCCAGCATAGTGTGCACATAGCCTTCTGTGTGCTGCTGACATGAGGCGGCTCTCCTCAAGGAGTGGAAATGGTATGATCCACTTTAGGGCTGTGGGTTATTATATCAGTTGCCACATGCCATGAATGTTGCCTTTGTAATTGTTCAAAGTAAAAAAATATTAATCTCATAATTGCTCTGAAAACTGCAGGTTCAGTAAAACAGCAATTGCAGAGAAATGAACCTTAAAGCTGTGACTCCTGTGCCCTGAGAGGAGACGTGTGGAGAGGAGACAAATGATTAGACCAATGCTTTTTTAAAAACACCTCTGAGGCCTGAATGGCTTGAGGAATGCAGGCCCATATGGCGACGTCAGAAATGAATGAAAGGGATTCTGACAACACAGGAAATAAGAAGCGATGGAGGAGACAGA